TCCCAGAATTCCCCAGCCAGCTTGGCTGGCTGGGGAATTCTGGGAGTTGAAGTCCACGAGTCTTCAAAGTTTCCAAGTTTGGTGAGCCTTGCACTAAAGCAACCCTAGCTAAAGATTTACATACCTTTCTTTGCCCTCCTTAACGTGATCTCCAGGTGTGGGGGAGTTAAAACTCCCAGCTGACACACCTGAGGTAGAAATTCTGTAGTTGCCCAAATATATTTGAAGGGGAGAACCCAGCTACGAGGTGGTGGCCCCAGATGACTGCTGAAGAAATTGTAATTATAGATTGATGAGCTTTCCTGAATCCCAGGAAACCCTGAATCCCAGGAAACCTTGAATCCCAGGAAAACTTGTTCCTGAGGTTCCCTTGTACATAGTGTCTGCCTGATCCTTTTCATTCAAATCAAAATTGATTCATTGCGATCATATTACCCGAGTTCTCAGGGAGTTGTTGGCCGGAGGTCCAAATGTAGGATACAGTGCTTTAAACTGGGTAGAGTAAATGGGTAAAGCAGGGGGATCCAACCTTGGCAACTTTTAAGTTCTGTGGACTTCAACTCCCAGAATTCCCCAGGCAGGTGGCTGGGGAATTTTGGGAGCTGAAGTCCAGAGGTCTTAAAAGTTGCTGAGGTTGGATACCCTTGGGGTAAAGTATCGGCATCCGTTTTCTTGGTGCCGGGCAGTTGTGAAACATACAGTTGCAAAACTCAACCGTGACATCGAAACTGCATTCTTTCTTTCTTTCTTTTTCTTTCTTTCTTTCTTCCTTCCTTCCTTCTTTCTTTCCTTCCTTTCTTTTTCCTTTCAAATTTTTCTTTCAAAATTTCTTTTTCTCTTTCTTTCTTTCCTTTTTTTCTTTTTCTTTCTTACTTTCTCTTTTCTCTCTCTCTCTCTCTCTCCCTCCCTCCTTTCCTTTCCTTTCTCCTTTCCCTTCCCTTTCCAATAAATAATAGCAGGGATTGAGTGGACCATATTAGGAGCCTTCTCTAAAGAGATGTCTTGAATAGCTTTTCTTGCCAAAGTATTCTGCCTGCACAGTTCCTATGAAATAAGTATTTTTTTAATCATGTACGAGGTCTCAATTATATATATATGGGTGTAAAAAAATCTTACGATGCTGTGCAAGGATGTTTTCAATAAATGTTGTTTTGCATTTACAAAAGTGGCCTCTCCTGTGGTTTTTTTTTAAAAATATACTTCACAGAGATCCCCAAAAAGCTAAGGGAATGAGATGCTACTTCTCGCCAAAACAGAGAAGCGCAATAGCAATAACTCTTAGAGACTTATATGCTGCTTCAAGTGTTTTACAGCCCTCTCTAAGCAGTTTATAAAGTGAGCCTGTTGCCTGAAACAATCTGCGTTCTTCTTTTACTGACCTCGGAAGGATGGAAGTCTGAGTCAACCTTGAGCCGGTCAGGATCGAACTGCCAGCAGGCGGCAGCCAGCAGAATTAGCCTGCAGTACTGCATTCTGACCACTGCGCCACCACGGCTCTACGGTTTCAAAGAAAGGAACTTTAGTTTTCTAAACTTACCAAGAAATGTGACTGAAGCTGAGAAACTGTCCGCCCGGCACACAATGAGCCACTGCCTTTCACAACTTCAGCTGAGTTCCTGTTTACATGGAGAGAAATTACTGTTCTGTCTGCTTCACTGAAATCTCGTCTATAACATTCCATGTGTTGGCCATGGTTTCAATGTCCAAGCTTCCGTTTGCTCTATCCGAGTTTAATCGTGATAGGCTGAAGCTAATTCCTCGACGTATGACTATAATGGAGCCTGCGGTTGTTAAATGAACCATTGTTCGCTATGAGCCAGCAAAACGCTTTTAAATCGTAATTAGGACCGTAGGATGCTCCAAACACCTGCAAATGGGGGCCAGCTGCCGATTGCCTGACATGTCATGTGAAAGCAACTTGGGGAGGGGGCACTGGCTGATGGAAATTCAGACCTGGGTTGCAAATATTGCCGGGGGGGGGGCTGTCATAGCTTCAAATGATCACAAAGCAACCCAGCTGTATGTCAACTGCATGGCTGGCTGGGGGAATTCTGGGAGTTGAAGTCCGCAAGTCTTAAAAGTGGTCAAGGTTGGACATCCCTACTGTACTGTGATATATTTTCCGAGTTAAAAGCAGGATTTTAATATACCTAAGATAGTCTGGTCTCTGCTTTCCCTTACAGGTGTCCCAGATTTCCCCCAGGAAAAGCTTTGCTCAGGGTAACATATATGAAATTCTCTTGGTTGCTTCAAGCAGTTGTAACTAATTTTAGGTGTGCCACTAGCTGGCTCAAATGTGTGTATTTCCCCAAGGGTAATTTCTGCTTGCTGTTGAGTTTTCCAGCCGTTTTATATTTCTGAGAGGTGTGGACAGACATCCAAAGGATCCGATGCTTTCATTAAAGCAACCAAACAGATGCCGTCACACTGCTAGCTCTGCCTCTTTTGTGCCTCCATGCAAGAAGAGGCGTGTACCAAAAGGGTGGGAATTAGGGCACCACACTTGTTTCCTTATTTCTCATACATCCGTACCCCACAGCTACTTCTGGTTGTGCACCAGCCGAATGACCATACTGTATTCACGGTGTAAGGGAGTTCAATAACATCGGAAAAGCAATATATAGAAGGGATTTTAGTCAATTCATCACATGTTTATTTATATAAAAGAATCCACAACCCATCCAATATACATACTTCTCAATTTTAGTCTTATGTTCTGCCCAAGCGAGCACATATGTAGTTCTACTACGTATCTAGTAGTAAATGCCACTACTAAGTGATTGTTGAAGGAAAAATCAATCTGCTCCTCCTCCCACAGGGTTTCAAAGAAGTGGCAGGAACCAGAGAAATCCTACAGAAGCAGCTGGGTTCCATCCAAGTTCAACAATCCCAAACAAAGTTATTCGCTTAAGGAATATACTAATAGATGCCTCTGGTTCAACAGAACAGTTGGGTGGTGGGTTCAGAAATTGCACCAGCAATAGCACTTAGAGCTTATATACCACTTCACAGTGCTTTACAGCCTTCTCTAAGCAGTTTATAGAGTCAGCATATTGCTGCCCAACAACCTGGGTCCTCATTTTACTGACCTTGGAAGGATGGAAGGCGTATTCAACCTTGAGCCGGTCAGGATTGAACTGATAACAGTCGGCAGAATTAGCCTACAATACTGCACTCTAACCACTGCGCCACCATGGCTCGAAATGTTACCAAAGAAGTAACTCAGCCTCACTAACTATTTTTATTGACTGTTTCCTAGTATGATTTGATTGCTCATTGCACCCCGGGACTATCATTAAGTGTTGTGCCTGATGATTCTTGACTCTTGACGAATGTATCTTTTATGTACACTGAGAGCATTTGCACCAAAACAAATTCCTTGTGTGTCCAATCACACTTGGCCAATAAAGGATTCTATCTAGCTATCTAAAAACTATGAAAATATTAGACTAGAAAGGGCTTATACTCTCAAAATCCAGAGACATCTCTTAGATAAACTCACTTCTTTAAACTTAATAAACTCACTTTTCTTCCTGTTATGAAGGGCCAAGAGCTTCCAGGGGAAGCTGCTTAAACCCCGTCCCGTTCTTTGTGGCATCTTTCATTAGCCTACTATGTGTGTGGAATGTTAAGGGAAACAACACAACCTCTGAGAATCTCCTCAGCTAATTGTGAGCCAAAAGGACTGCAGCGCTCTTTGGTCTGGTGCAAAGTTTGTAGGATACCAAATGCACCTTGTCCCTATGCATCCAGTAGGTTGAACGGGCTGCTCTACAAGCCGTTCCAAGTTGGCCGTCTCGTCAAGATTCCTCGGCTCGTTCAATGGGCTGAATTTGCTCCTGTGGTTTTAGAGTAGATGAGAGCTCCTCAGGAAGGGGACGTTGGTTGGGTTTAGGCTCCAAAGGTAAGGAAGGAACCTTGGCCGGATGAGTCGAGCTTCCAATAACTGGAGAAGGAGAGAGCACAAAGCAGTGACACCAATATTCTTCTCTTCCAGTTTAAAAAGTGGCGACATGTGTATTGATATTATCACTTCCTTTATGATGCTGGAAGGTCAACATTTATGTACTTCATTCTTGATCTCCACCGCTTAAGTTTATTTGATAGATCTGTCGTGCTTTCTCATTCCCAAAGGATCGGAAATTTGGCAAAGAACCTAAACTTCCACGGAGGTGTGAGACACCTGGATGTCCTTTTAGGATTGATTAATTTGTATTTTGTATTCCTTAGCTGTCCATCACCGTCAGAGACGGGGATGCACTGAAGGACCCAACCAGGGCTTATAACTCAGTCAAGAATTTTCCACTTCCTCATTCTCCCCTGCCACCTTTTTCTTTTATTGGCTTCCTTCTTTAATGAAAAAATTTCCCTTAGATATATTTTTACAACTCTGAATTTGGTTCTTAAATCGCTCAGCTGCTTCTCCTTCCCATACTCCGTGGTTGCCACCTTGAAGGGGCCCGTGCTGTAGGCTTCCTTTCTACTTCCTCCTGTCAAGCCTTCATATTGTCTCTTTCTCCCTTCATATTCTCTGCTTCCCTGCCATCAACAAGACAAAAGGGAAACCTTAGGCAGGAGGGATTCCGCTCTTATCCTTCCCTTTCTTTGAGTCAAATGAGCTCTGCCGCAGTCATGCTTTTTTTCACCCTTTGCGTTGTGTTTGTGGCCCCAGCTGTGGCTGTGGTTTTTAACCATTCTAGGGGGGGGCGGGGGTCACTTTTGTGAGATGGGAGTTGATGTGCTTTGAAATAGTTATTTATTTAAAACATTTATTTATATAAGCCGCCCATCTTACCATCAACTCTGGGCAGCTCCCAATCAAAATAGATAAATAAATATCCGATACGAAGGGGAAGAAGACATGGCTATAGAATCAAGATACAATGCTCTACCTATCTCTAGTTAGGGTCACCCTTCCTTTTAATCCAGGCAGGGGAAACACTATATACAAAGATGTGACTAAACCAGGGGTCTCCAAACTTGGGAACTTTAAGTCCTGTAGACTTCAGCTCCCAGAATTCCCCAGAAGTGCCCACGTCTTGGCCTAGTTTGGAGACCCCTGGGCTAAACCAGCCAACCAACCATTACTACGACAAGTCAGGAGCCCTTGAAACCAAGCTTGACTTGAGTAGCTCCCAGTTCTCAAGCGTTCTTGAGAAGAACCGAGAAGGCAGGATGGATTCTGCTTCAGTCAACGAGGGCCAGAAGACCTACCTTGACTCATGGTCTTTGCGTAGCCAGCCGCAGAAGACATTGCCTGCCCCAGAGCTTGATTGGAACCCAGTGGCTGGGTGCTGGGTGCAGCAGCCCCTCGTGCCTTCGGTTTTGAGTCTCTACCAGGTTTAGCCCAGATTGCAACCTCTCCAAGCTGTAAGGAAGAGCCCAGTCTCTGGGCTATGTCCACCATCTGACCACGTAAGAGCAAAAGAAGAAGGAAAATTGAATGCCTGGTCCAATCCTGTGGCAGATTTTACCTGAGCCCTGCGCCATTTTTTGCCTTTCACTGAAGGAAATAAGAGAAGCGTGAGAGATGCTTATATATCCATTCAGAAGAAGGTCCCAATTTGGTTGGCGGTTGCCAGAAGCCGTTTTAATATTTGAGGGGGACACAAATTGAATCCTCTGGCTTGGATAAGGTACAGGTTTAAGGCGCCCACTTCCAACACCCACTTCTCTAACAGAAAACCTCTGATTTCAGTCAACTGCTCTGTGAAAGTTTCCCATGAGTAGTTTACAATCAACATACCTCGGGGTCAAAATCCAGGGTGCTCTCTTTTAACGCATGGACCTTTCTTTGCATCTCGTAGTACTGAGCCACAGCCTCCTTCTTATCTCCTTGATTGTATAGCAGGATTGCGTAATTCAGACTGATGAGTGGGTTGCCCCTGCAAGGCAGAAGAAAACCTTGAAATAACAAACATTGGTTTATTGGGCCGGCAAATGTCAAAAAAGTAGACAAACGTGACCAATTGCGTTGTAGTCACCAAATACTTTCACACAGAAAGCATTACAGAGGCTTGGTTTTTGTGATCAGGTTTGAGGCAGTGGATCAGGGTAAGGATAGGAAGAGAGAGAATGATAGGATAGCAGAGTTGGAAGGGACCCTTGGAGGTCTTCTAGTCCAACCCCCTGCTCAAGTAGGAGACCCTATGGCTATCCAGTCTCTTCTTAAAAGCCTCTAATGACGGAGCCCCTACAACTCTTGAATGGAATCAGTTCCACTGATCAATTGTTCTCACTATTGGGAAATTTCTCCTCCGTTCTAAATTGGATCTCTCCTTGGTAAGTTTTCGTCCATGGCTTCTTGTCCTGCCTTCGGGGGCTTTGGAGAAGAAAGTGACCCCCCCCCCTCCTTCTTTGGGTCAGCCCCTCAAATATTGGAACACTGCTATTCTGGGAGTTGAAGTCCACAGCTGTTAAAAGTCACCACAGCTGGACACCCCTGCTTTAGTAGCACTGGTTTTCATTGAGTTCAGAGGAAGCCCTCCCTAAAATTCAGCAGAGAAGACATACGTGTCCAGGGACGAAGCTTTCTGATACGCTAGCCTCGCATTTTCAAGATCTTCAAGATTTGTCAAGGCAACTAAAACAAATAAAGAAAAGAAAAGAAAAACCAAACGGAAGTATTTATCTTCCTAACGTGGAGGAGCACTGAATTATTTTACCCTTAACCCAATGACATTTTCAATTTAAAGAATGAACGTCCTCCCCGCTCGTAAAGTGAAATTATCTCAGCACAATTGTTTTAAGAAGATCATTAATAAGATCTGTATGCCTAAAGTACTATATCAGTGGCTACTGGGTATCGTAGCATAGCAGATGTTTCTGGAGGCCAGGAATCAGGATTTTAAGTAAGGAGGACAGGTGCAGGATTGGTACCTGCTAACAACATGTAAAGTTCTGCCAACTTGGGCTGGAGATGGACCGCTGCGCTGATGAAGTGGAAGGCAGAAGCGTATTGGTGCATGGTCAGGTGGACCAGTCCCAGGTTGTACAGGGTCTTCCAATCAAAGGGTGCGAGGTAGTTTGCCCGTTTCAGGCAGCTGATGGCCTGTGGAAGAACATGGTTGGGTCACCAGAGGAGAAGACTGGCATGTCCCAAGGCCACCTTCTGGACCTTGGCTCCCCCTACAATAACAACGCCGCCCTTCTCCAAAAGAAGCCCTAGACTTTACTTTGCAAACCCTGGCAAAGGTGAACGTAACGAGAAGTGATTCAATCTATTAGGATTGATCAAACCGTTGAGAGGCAGTTTGGTGTAGTGGTTAAGGTGCCGGCCGGGAGACTGTGAGTTCTAATCCTGCCCTAGACATTGAAAGCTGACTGGGTGACTTTGGACCAATCGCTAGGAGATAGTGAGTTCTAGTCCCATCTTAAGCCTGAAAGCCGGCTGGATGACTTTGAGCCAATCACTCTTAGCCAAATCCACCGCACAAGGTTGCTATTGTGGCGTAGGAGGAGGAAGAGGAATTCTGTGTGTTTGCTGTGTTGAGTTACTTCTAGAATAATAAAGGTGGGATTAACAGGTAACAGATAATCAGAGTTGGAAGGGACCTTGTAGGTCATCTACTCCAACCCCCCCACCCCACCCAAGCGGGAGACCCTACACCATTTCTGACAAATGGCAGTCCAATCTCTTCTTGAAGGGCTCAAGTGATGGCGCTCCCACAACGGGATTTGGCAGTAACTTTTCGCTGCCACGCCCACCAAACCACGCCCACAGAACCGGTAGTCCAAAAAAAAAAAAAAAAAATCCCACAACTGCTCCGAAGATCATGTGTGACACAGAGACCGTAGTTCATTCGTGGTCTTCTTCTTTTTTTTCCCTTTTTTGCTGGAGAAGGGCCAATCAAGTGTAGAATATATAGCTAAATAGTTCAGGTTTAAATAGAAAGAGGTGCCAGGCCCGTTAATTGCTCGGTGGGGAAATGAACCCTCTTACAACGCGGACCCCTGGCTTGGAACACATCGAACCGTGTGTGTGTCTCTGTGTGTGTGTGTGTGTGTCCAGTGAGGCACACAGCCCCAAACCCTCCCAAGAACAAGGTTGGAGGGTTCAGTGACTGAGGGCTTCTGGCGCCTGGTGGAGGGAGTTATTCGCAAATCCTTCCAATCAAGGAGGCTCCGGGGAGAAGGTGCCGGAGGCAGAAAAAACGCACGGGGAGATTTCCTTCCGGAGCTGTCCCAGCTTCAGCAGCTTAAGTTTGGGACCTTTTCTATCAATGGCTAGATAATAAAATATAATAATAGAACATTTAGAAACTTAGGATATAATGAATATATACTTCTTTTTTTTTTCCTTTGATACTATTTTTATAAAATTTTATTAAGAAAGACTTGGTATGACTTTGTGATTCGTTGTAAAATAAATTAAGTAAATTATAGTTATCTCGTTAAAGTATGAGTTAACAAAATTATAGTCAAATGATTGTTTAGTAATGATACCAGGCTATATAATTGTTGATTGATAATATGAGCTATTATGTAATATAACTACAATGGCGACTGTGAAATGGATGCACACAAAAAAAGTGGTAAACCAACCGATACACTGTCTGTAAATTTATGAAGGAAAGGATGATGCTTTTATGTTTTATGTTTTATGTGTTTTTGTTCGTTGTTAAAGTCAATAAAACTTTTTTTCCAAAAAAATAAATAAATGCATGGGGAGATTTAAGAAGCAGCAGGGGTCCCTTCCTTTGTCTGTTTCTTATTTTCTCCAAATGTCGGGGCAAGCAAGATAACACCCTCCTCCCCTCTCCGTGTGTGTGTGTGTGTGTGCGTGTTTGTGTGTGTAGAGCTCCCCCTTCTCCCTAGCCAGAGGCCTTGAAAGGAAAGCAATGCACCAGGAAACAGACAAAAGTAAAAAAAAACCAAACAAAAAACGGTGAAGGAAGGGTCTCCGTCTCTTTCTCACGACCAAAGGAGCACAGCGACGCGAGAAACCCAGACGGATAGTCCTCGAGTTACAACCATCCGGTTAGCCACTGTTTGAAGTTACAACAGCACTGGGGGAAAAAAAAGGTGACTTAAGACCGACACGGGGTCATACGATCAAAATTTGGGCCGCTTGGCAACTGGCGTGTATTTATGATGGTTTGCAGCGTCCTGGGGTCACGTGGTCGCTATTTGAGCAACCTTCCCAGCCCGCTTTTGGCGAGCAGAGTCAATGGAGGAAGCTGGATTCACTTAACAACTGCAGTGATTCGCTTAGCAATCATGGCGTGGTGGTGCAGTGGTTAGAATGCAGTACTGCAGGCTCATTCTGCCCACTGTCAGCAGTTCGATCCTGACTGACTCAAGGTTGACTCAGACTTCCATCCTTCTGAGGTCAGTAAAATGGGGACCCAGATGGTTGGGGACAAGAGGCTGACTCCGCAAACTGCTTAGAGGGGGCTGTAAACCACTGTGAAGTGGTATATAAGTCTATTGCTATATCCTTCCTCCCTCCCTCCCTCCCTCCCTCCCTCCCTTCCTTCCTTCCTTCTCTCCCAGTGGTTAGAATGCAGTTTTGCAGGCTAACTCTGCTGATTGCCAGCAGTTCAATTCTGACTGGCTCAAGGTGGACTCAGCCTTCCATTCCTTCTGTGGTGGGTAAAATGAGGACTTGTTGGGTGGCAATACGCTGGCTCTGTAAACCGCTTAGAGAGGGCTGTAGAGCACAATGAAGTGGTATATAAGTCTAAATAGAAAAGTCATAAGTTGTAGCTATTGATATGGCAAAAGAAGTTAACAACTCACTGAACAACCGCCTGGCTTACCAATGGAAATTTGGGGCCCAATTGTTGTTGTAATTCAAGGACTACTTATAGACACCTCCCCGCCATGGAGGAGAAAGGATCAATGGGAAACAGAGGGAGGCAATTTTTGTTCTTCCTCCTCTCGAAACATACGGGGGGAACAAGGAACAGGAAGGCAACATGCTCACCGCCACGTATTTCTTCTTGCCGAAAAAGCACATCCCGATGTTGTTCCAGAGCAGGGGGCTCTCAGGAACGGTACAAGCCACGATGCGGTACTTGCTGAGAGCCATGTCGAAGTCCCCGTGGGTTTGCATCATACTGCCAGCTGCCAAAATGGCCTTTGAAAGACAAGAAGCCCAAATGAAGTAGGCCGGAAAGAAGAAAACCTTTAACAGATTAACAGAATTGGAAGGGACCTGGTAGGTCATCTAGTCCAACCCCCCGCCCAAGCAGGAGACCCTACACCGTGTCTGACAGATGGCAGTCCGATCCCTTCTTGAAAGTCTCCAAGTGATGAAGCTCCCACAACATCTGAAGGCAACTTCTGTTCCATTGGTTGATTGTTCTCACTGTCGTATTTCCAGGTTGAATCTCTCTCCTTGTTCCGTTCCCATCCATTATTCCTTGTCTGGCCTTCAGGTGCTTTAGAAAATAGCTTGACCCCCTTCCTCCTCTCTGGGGAAGCCCCTCCAATATTCGAAGATGCTCTCCTGTCTCCCCTGGTCCTTCTCTTTCCTAGACTAGAAAGTCCCAGTTCCTGCAACCGTTCTTCATATGTTTGAGTCTCCAGTCCCCCTCATCATCCAAGTTGCTCTTCTCTGCACTCTTTCTCGAGTCTCAACCTTCTTTTTTATAGTGTGGATGCACTATAGTAAGTAAGTGAATATGGCATAAGCTCCATATTTTCAAGAGGCCAAAACAGAGAGGTGTTGTCTTTAAGATTCAGGAATGCATCTGAAGAGGCAGACACATTGCAAAAACCTATGGCCCAAATGGCGAGAAAAGTACGATGATACTACGAACCGCATTCTTGCAGTCTGGGAGCTGGAGAGAGGAGGAAGGCGGTTCACACTCTTCCATTATGCTTGTTGTGTAAAGTTGTTTATTTACATGCATGCTGGATTTTTGTGGGGAGATGAGCAAAGTTATACAAAATGCAGGGAAGCAATCAGAAACAAGAAGCCAGGGGAAACCTTGGCATGAGGTAAGCGAAATAAAAGGAATTAACTAAATCTAGTGTTGACCAACACCGCTTACCATACCTCTCCCTATCAAGTATGCTTGCTTTTACTTAATACAATGAGCATCTCAACTCTATTCACCCACGTGTTTAATGGAAATTATTCGCTTTCCTTTGGCTTATCAAATGTTTTGAGATTCAAACCGCATCAGTTCCTTCTCTGGATCCAACTATACCCAATATACTTCTTTTATGCTATGCATTCACTTTTGACTCAGACTAACTTTACTGTCATTTTGAATGTACACTAAGCTGCATACATTAAAGTGAAATTTCGTGGCATGCGGCTCTCAAAGGGTCTCCACTTCTCATATGCACTACATAAACATGACAGAATAAATAAATACAAAATTATGTATCAACCGACTTATATGCATTTACCACCCTTTCATTCTGGTTCTCTCGTTTTACGACATGCCCCCAGCTACCCCATTCTTGCTGCATCCAACGTATTTTCCCGTTGCTGCTAAAATACTCAGCTCTGATTTCCATGTAACAAAGGGGACAGAAACCCGTTTCACACATTGCTATTTTTTTTTTTTTGCTTATTTTAGGAAAAAAAAAACATTCATCACTCTGAACGTTTTTACCCTCATTTGCACATGTTAATATTTCTGTTTCCCAATTTTTGTAAATAGCCTAGCAAGATAAATCAATTGACTTGTCATTTGTGCATAACGTGCAGTTATTCATTTTCTAACCTCTAACACCACCACATTTGTACATTTCATCCTAAATACATTAAACCAACAAGGGGATATATGACATCTTAATTCGGTCTTAGCATCAAGCCATTTTTTTAAGCAAACCATGCATTTTCACGCCTCCTTTTACTTCCACCTTCGACTATTCCTCGATGTATTGAGCAATTAACTTCATACATTGTACAAAGCACTCAAAACTTAAGCTTGTCTTCCTATGCTCCAATTTACCTTATAGTTGCAGGGATCAAAGGTGAGGGCGTTTCCAAGGTACTCAAAGGCTTTCTGATAAACCTCAAGCTAAGAAAGGAAAAAAAAATATGTAAGGGACGTTTTATTTAGCACTATGGATTATTTTACTGTCATTGCATCCAGAGAGAGGCATTCCTACACATTATGTTTTGGGTCTTAGAGTTTTCAGGCTACAAATTAGTAAAATAATTCCAAATTAATACAAATTACAAATTAGTTTGCCGGTAGCTGGTGCAGACGGCAGTGGAATCAAACAGTGGGGAAGAATGGGAACCAGTCAGGGAGTCTGGAGAGGACTCGGATCCTGTGTCCGATGCGGGGATGAGGCCGGGACCATCTGGGAGTGGAGTGCTGCCTTTGGAGCCTTCAGAGTCGGCAGCAGCAAGGCAGAGGAACAAAGGGAGCCTGTTCCCAGTGTGCGTATGCACAGAGCTGCCAGAAGAGCAGCTAAAGCAGTAGGGTAACTCGGGAATAAGGCTGGGAGGTGATTGCCCCTCCCATCAGGGATAAAAGTCAGGCCAAAATGACGAAACCGGTTCTGAGTCATCCTCGAGCTCTGTGTACTTTGGTTGTTTTTTTTTCTGGTACTTCAATTGGTTTCTTTTATAGTTAATTGGATACTTCTGTCTTTGGCAGCATTCCACAGAACTGAAAGGTGTGTGCTTATCTTGGGGAACTGTTTAATATTAGTTCCAGCTGGGAATGAAAGCAATTCCCAGTGTTGCAATAAAACAGGTTTTACTTTTAAAACAAGTCTGTGATTGATTACATTTGATAAAGCCTGGGTCAGAACATCTGATGTGGGTGAGGGGGTACCACAGAGGAGGTTTACTTTGAATGCAAAGAAGGAAAAACATCTACTACAACTAAACTACAACTCGACGTACAACAGTTCATTTAGTGACTGTTCAAAGTTGCAATAGCATTGAAAAAAGTGACATGACTGTTTTTCACCCTTACGAACTTTATAGCATCCCCAAGGTGATGTGATCAAAATTCGGATGTTGACAATGGACTCATATTTATGACGGTTGCAGTGTTGTGGGGTCAAGTGTGATCCTCTTTTGCAACCTTCCAACAAGCAAAGCCACATTCACTTAACAACCACGTGACTAACTTAATAACTGCCCTGATTCAATTAACAACGGTGGAAAGGAAAGGTGGTAAAATGAGGCAAAATTCACCGAACCGCCGTCTGGCTTAACAGCAGAAATTCTGGGCTCAATTGTGGTTGTAAGGCGAGGACCTGTAAAAGTACCTAATGACTTAATGACCAACTTTTCATACCTCAAGATAAAGCAAGCCCAGAATTGTAAGGAGTTCTGTGTTTTCAGGAGAGAATCTGAAAAAAAAAACCAGAAATACAGATTGTAGGGTTTTAAGGTGTCCATCGCCTTCATTAAAGCCAAACAATCATTCATTCTTCTGCAGGGGAAGGAAAGGTGACCCAAAATATTAAGAGTACTTGAGGAATATCGATGTTTTCTATGCCAATGATTAATAATGCAGCCCCCTTTTCAGGACAACCCATAATTAGCCAGTCAAAATAGGCCTTCCTCCATTTTAAAGTCCATTTAATTGGCTTCGGAGTAGACGTTTAGGGGCTGAACAACCCACGAGTGTGCCAGAGATTGTGCCAGCCTCTGCTCTAGGCTGGCAGATGGAGGAGGCCGTGGTCCAAAATTGGAAAAAAAAAATGACGTTTTTCATAATCTTTCCAAATTCAAGAAAGTAAGGCGCCTTCCCATCCTCCAGGAAATCCCTTCTGTCTTACATTTATTTCAAGACCCCCTAGTTCTGGGCTGGCAGTTGGAGGAATGTGTTCACCATCAAATCCCCTGTCTCCCCTCTTTCTCCCTCTCCACCAAAATATTGTGTTGGAAAAGAAAAGAAAAAAGTTGGCGGTAACGTCACTCTTTGGCACTTATAATCCTTAGCATGCAGTGTTTTGATTACAATCCAATCCCAATTTGTTAGGTATTAGGTGCACAGTGCAGTATCCTTTGCCCTGCCACAGTTAACTCTACTCATCTGGTTGGGAGGCCTCCAAAACGATTCCTTTTTCTTTGGGGGATCTGCGGGGCTCAGGTTAGTCTTCTCTGTGGTGGCACAGTTAGCTCTATTATTGAACTAGCTCAATGCCCAATGCTTCGCCACGAAACTATGTGGTCGGGGTTAGTTTTTGGAGAGGAAAAAAAATCTGCCTCTGCCTACCAGGATCCATCAGTATTCATCTGGCTAGCGTCCTGTCTGTGTGTGAGAAAGTGGAGGGCTGCTTGGAAACTGAGACAGTATTGGCTGTGTGAGCAAGGAGCCAGCAAGGGGCCAGGGCGTGGCTTAGCTCAACTGTTCTGTACTAAAGCTGCTTGCTGCTCTAAAACTGAAACTGAAACTCCTCTGCTTGTGTTTTGCATTTGGGAGAGACTTCTTTTCAGGTGGGGAGAGGGAGTAGAACTTCTTAGCATCAGAGCATGTTAATAATAATAATAATATAGGAAATACTCTAAATGTTCTGATAGTCATTTCGAGAAAAATCCTTTCTTAGGGAGCCCCTAGAAGCCAAGTGGAACATAGGTGCCAAATTTTCAGGTTTGTAGGCTTTACGGTTCTGGAGATTTTGTGATGATGCGTGAGGGGTCTTTCGCTTTTATATAGACAGATAATGGGAGAGGACCACGGGTCTGCCAATTAAGTGTGAGGCTAAAGGGAGGATGGGAAGGCATTTTCCTTTCTTGAATTAATAAAAGAACAACACAGTCAAAATAAAGCACTTAACTGGAGCCAAAAATTAATTGGAAAAGGACATCTCCCCGCCACCCCCTAAAGCAGGGGTGTCAACTCAAGGATCCGGCCTGTGGGGTGCTTAGATCTGGTCCCATGGGGAAACAGTGAAGGAGCAACCTGCGGTATTTTCGGCTGCGACAGCCTCCTACAACCCTCTGCCAGTGAAAAAGGAGCTTGCGAGGCCTATGGGAGCTGGCCATGCCCAGCCCAGCCCCTTGAGATCAAACACAACCCCCTGATGCAGCCCTCGGTGCAACCGAGTTTGAAAAACCCTGCCCTAAAGAGTAGAAGGGAAGAAAGCATCTTACTCCACTGCTTTTTTATAGATTTCAATGGCTGCGTCTCTGTCCCCTTCCATCAGGTGGATTCTCCCCAGAGTCATGTAGGTCAGGTCATGGCGGTTGAGCTGCAAGGCGTTGTTCAGTTGATCTTTGGCCTGAGTGCAAGCGAGAGAGAGAATGGGCTTGGTTTCATCACTATCAACCTGAGCCACTCCGAGCGTGGCTTTCATTCTGGCTTGAGCTGATATAGGTCTGTCCCTCCCCAGCGATGTCAAGCAGCTGCTTGGTGGGTGAGAAGGAAGGAACAAAATACATCAAATATATCTTCTATCTAGTCCAACCCTTCGCTCAAGGCAGGAGCCGTATCTGTCCTCTACGGGTGCGACTTCCAAGTCTTTGGTGTTTTATCCCGCCCAGCCCTCCTGTAAAACTAATCAGGGGTGACATGATAGTCCGATCTAAGTACAGTACACAAAATCATACATTGCAATGTCCTACCTGTCAATGAATACTCCAGCTTCAACCACAACAACATAAGAGCAAACAATAGATACAAAGTCAAGGTTAATCGCACCAAACTTGATTGCAGGAAATACGACTTCAGCAACAGAGTGGCTGATGTCTGGAATACTCTACCTGACTCTGGGGTTTCTTCCCCAAACCCCAAAAACTTTAACCTTAGACTGTCTACTATTGACCTCACCCCCTTCCTAAGAGGTCTGTAGGGGGAGTACATAAACGCACCAACATGCCTACCGTCCCTGTCCTATCGTTTCTTTTTTATTCATATCCATTTCATGTATTCATAACCATGTTTATACTAAACCTGTTATCTTATAATCGCTTGACAAAAGAAATAAATAAATTAATAAAAGTGTTCCAGTATCTCAGGGGCTGTCCCAAAGAAGAGGGAGTCAAGCTATTCTCCAAAGAACCTGAAGGCAAGACAAGAAACAATGGATGGAAACTAATCAAGGAGAGAAGCAACCTGGAACTAAGGAGAAATTTGCTGACAGCGAGAACAGTTAATCAGGGGAATGGTTTGCCTCCAGAAGTTGTGAAATGCTCCAACACTGGAGATTTTAAAGAAGAGATTGGACAGTGATTTGTCTGACATGCTATAGGCCTTCCAGCTTGAGCAGAGGGTTGGACTAGAAGACCTCCAAGGTCCCTTACAACTCTGTTATTCTGTTATTATTCCAATTCATTACACAAAGTTTGAGGATAGGCTGCTTTCCTTTCTCTCTCTCTCTCTCTCTCTCTTTCTCTCTCCTTCTCTTCCTTCTCCCCATCCCTGCCCCCCCCCTTAAATGCCACTAACCAAGCTGGTGGGGGAGAGGGTGGGGGGAGCTCTGGGCTGAGACTAGAGTTGCAATGAGTTTGAGTAAAGTGTAAAGAGACCAAAAATCTCAGCAGGGTTTTATAGGTCGTTCTGCCCAAAAGTGCTGATGCCAGCATGAACTTCAGGACTGATGAAGTGCCCAGAGACAACCCGGTTTCTTCCTGCCCCAAATCCTCCCCCCATCGAAAGGCATTCATTGGAAAGCCTTGTTTTCTTCCTCCCCCAGACCCAGCCGGTGGGATGGGAAGGAAAAGGTTGCAGGTTTTGAGATTTCTCCCCCAGGCCCATTTAAAAAAAAAGGGGGGGGGAAGAGGGACGTGGGAGGGAGGGAGGGAGGGAGGGAGGGAGAGAGAGAAAGAGAGAGAGAGAGAAAGAGAGAGAGAAAGAAAGAGAGAAAGAGAGAGAGGCTTATCCTTTGTCTATTTTTGAAAAAAAAGGATGCCTTTATGTAACATAGCATAGCATGTTCGTTACTAAAGGGTATAAATAGCACAACACTCTGTAGACTTCATTATATTTTATAGGCTTGGTGTAACTTATCATCAGAAGGACAGAGAAAAATCCCCAGCCTGACAGCAAAATACACGAACAAACTTCCCTTTTAAAGGCAAACATCACCCCATGCCGATGACAGAGAAGGCACGCTGTTTCTTTCAATGGCTTGAGAGAAGCAAGCCAAGAATTCTCCCAGTATAAAATCTTGGCTTGGTCCTAGCAACTACTGGTAGAACAAAGCAAACAAGTTCTGACTCGGACACTGCAACGTTACTGGAGGAAGCAACCTCGGTTTAAGGGACAGGGAGCATCATTAACACTCAAATGTCTGAACTAGGTAGAGACAGGAACCAGCTGGGCCCTTCAGAGGGCTAGCGGAAGCTTCAAGGTGGCCCAAGTCTAACTGGGAGGGTTCTCTTTCACGGGGCAGCTTAAGGGCATTTAAGTAATGAAATGCAGATTCTGGCTTTTTAAAGCAGCTTTGAATTTTGGAGGATTTCTGGAATGCTGGGACCTTGAGCCATCATGGATTGCCTTAGCAGAGATTGTCTCCAAACTCGGCAACTTTAAGGCAACTTGTGGACTTCGAACTCCCAGAATTGGTGTGGTTGAAGTCTGGGTGGGATTTTGGCGATTTAAGCAGAGCAGAATCTTCTTTGGGCCTCCCAATGGCCTCCCACCTTATTCCATCTTGCAAGGAACAAATCTTTTTAGGAAGATGGGTAGATATTTCCTGCTAGATTGTGATCTTTTAGGAGCAGGTCTCTGCGTTTCAATTAGTTGAACTTCACCCGATAGAACTCAACCTTGGTCGACTGGAGATGAGCGGACTTCTACTCCCAGAATTCTGGGAGTTGAAATCCACAAGTCTTAAAATTGCCAAGTTTGGGGACCCCTGGCCTAGCATATAATATAGCCGAAGGGTCTGTTTTACCTTGTTGAAATATTTCAGCTGCATGTAGCAGACTCCCAAGTTGTGGAAGATCTCCTAGTTATAAAAAGAAAGGAGGTTTATGAAGTAAGTGGAACCATTTCTCGTTGCAGATGGCAAAATGCCGACGTCAAAGCTCATACTCTACCACAAAATTCAAGCAAGCACACACCTTGCAAATCAGCTGAAAAAAAACCAGGAACAATGTAATTTCAGCCAAACATGACAAAGATATTAAGATAAGCTTTTCCCAACCTGCTGCTCCCTTGAAAAACACCCTAGACAAGAAGGCAGGGTGTGGATATCCAACCTATCTGCAGGGCAGGAGGTTGGGAAAGGTTACCAAGACACAAATATGATGAAAAGGGAAACTTAGTAAAGATTTAGTTAAATATGTCCATTAAACCTTCTTCTGAGACCAGTAACCTACACGGTGCAGTGACTGGAAGGCTGAATTGGGAGTAAAGCGCCTCAGGTTCAATTTTAATGTAGACCAGCATTTGTCAACCTCAGCCGCTTTGAAATTTGGGGGACGGGGGGGGGGGGACTTCAATTCCTAGAATGCCCCAGCCAATTGGGAATTCTGGGAGTTGGTCAACACATTTTAAAAGTGTCTAGATTGAGAAAGACTGATTTGGATAGTTAAATGTGAATGTACTCTATGGATGCAGGAAATAAAACTTTGGTTCAGTAGCAATGTTATGCAACGAAAAGGTGGATCCTTTTAGCATATAACTATGTTATTTCAAGCTGCCAGGTTTGCTGGCAATAGCACTTAGACGTATATACCACTTCAGAGTACTTTAGAGCCCTTGCTAAGTGTTGGCATCTTTGCCCCAAACAATCTGGGTCCTCATTTGACCCACCTTGGAAGGATGGAAGGCTGAGTCAACCTCGAGCCTGGGGAGATTTGAACTGCTGGCAGTCGGCAAAGCTAACCTGAAATACTGCTTTCTAACCACTGAGCCACCACAGCTCTGTGAAATATAATGAATCGCACATCTGGCCAACATTTGAGTCTAGTTAATATCCATCACAATGAAAGAATGCATGCTAAGAGGATATGGGACTATCCACTTAGAAAATTATTCCTTCCAGATGGGGAAAAATTGGGAGATGGGAGCCTTGTATCTATCGATCAGAGACAATCCTGCTTCTTCTAGTTTGTTCTTCCTCTGGGGATGGATGGCTGTCCCATCTCAGACTTTACTTCATAGGGCCCGAACCTTGCCTTAATCATAACCGAAGAACAGCCTGCCCTTGCTCAGGTGCTCATCCCATATTAAGCCAAGCTGTGACTTATACAGGTAGTCCTCCACTTAAAACCACAATTTCTCTTGCTAAGTGAGACATCTGTACGACCTTTCTTGCCATGGTTCTTAAATGGATCGCTGCAGCGGTAACCTGTTTGTTAAGTGAATCTGGCTTCCTTCTTGATTTGGCTGGTCAGAAAGTCGCAAAAGGGGAATTGCATGATTCTGGAACACTGCAACCGTCGTCAATACGAATCCGTTGCCTAGTGCTTGAATTCTGATCGTGGGGATGCTGCCATCACCCTCTTTTTAACGACCCCCATAATCCCTTGCAGGGTGGAGTCTGGGCAACTGACGGGAGCTGAGTCTTGTAATGGCCGGATTCCCTTCCTGTTGCCAATGCAGAGTTTTGTTTGGCAGATAGATTCTCATCGTGCCCAGACAGAGAAATATTTGCCTCTACCTAGGATCGAACTCACAGCCTCCTGATGATGAGGCAAGAGCTCCGCTTCTAGGACACCACACCACTTATGGGGATCCTGCAATGATCGTGTGAAAAACAGTCCCTTTTTTTCGGGGCCGTTGTAACTTTGAACAGTCGCTAAAAACCAACTGTTGTAAGTTGAGGACTACCTGTACAGCAGAAACTTTTGGGGATAGTGAAACCTCATTTTCTTCTGGAAACCGTCCACCCGTTTCCTCTTAGGGGTTTCCCCACCTGAGTCATATTTTTAAGAAGCGGCTACTACTCATTTAGGGACGCGGTGGCTCAGTGGCTAAGACGCTGAGCTTGTCGATCAGAAAGGTCGGCAGTTCAGGGGTTCAAATCCCTAGCACTGCACAACGGAGTGAGCTCCCGTTACTTGTCCCAGCTTCTGCCAACCTAGCAGTTCAAAAGCAAGTAAAAAAAGTGCAAGCAGGAAAATAGGGACCCCTTTGGTGGGAAGGGAACAGCGTTGCGTGCGCCTTTGGGCATTTAGTCGTACCAGCCACAGGACCACAGAGGTGTCTTTGGACAGCGATGGCTCTTTGGCTTTGTGACAGAGATGAGCACACTGGCCCCTAGAGCCGGAAACAACTAGTACGTATGTGCGAGGGGAACCTTTACCTTCACCTTACTACTCATTTAAAGAAGAAAACAAATATGCGAATAAATCTGGCCTTGGCTGATTTGTCCATATCCAATCCTGACCATCCTCTTTTGACATAAGAAGAGCTTCACACATACCCAGTCCTTCTCGTTGTGTTGAGCTGCGTCGTTGTAGACTTCAATAGCTGCTTTGTGCTTGCCCAGGAGAAACCTGCAACACATTCGCTCTTTCGTGTTTTTTTTCTCGGCTTGTTTTACTGGGGATTAAGGGTTTGTCAGTCCTGGGATCAAGGGAGCTTTGAGGAAGCCATTTCTATTCTCAGACATAACAGAACAGCCAAGGGCTGCCTGAAGAGTTATATTCTTTGACCACCAGAAAGGGAAGCGGTGGCTCAGTGGCTAAGATGCAGAGCCTGTCGATCAGAGAGGTCAGCAGTTTGGCGGTTCGAATCCCTAGCGCCGCGTAACCGAGCAAGCACCGGTTACTTGTCCCAGCTTCTGCCAACCTAGCAATTCGAAAGCATATAATAAATGCAAGTAGAAAAATAGGGACCCCTTTGGTGGGAAGGGAACAACTTTCCACGCGCCTTCGAAGGCGTTTAGTCCGGCCGGCCATATGACCATGGAGACGTCTTCGGACAGCCCTGGCTCTTCTTCGGCTCCGAAACAGAGATGAGCAGTGCCCCCTAGAGCCGGGAACGACTAGCACATCTATGCGAGGGGAACCTTTACCATACCACCAGAAAGAGACAGAACAGGTATAGTCCTTGACTTACAGCGATTCATTTGGCGATGGTTCAAAATGACAATGGCACGGAAAAAAAGGGACTGATGGCCGTTTTCCACACTTACAACTATTGCAGCATCTGCCGTGGTCAATTTAAGCTTCTTGGCAACTGACTCATATTTATGACGGCGGCAGTGAGCCGGGGGGGGGGGGTGTCACGTGATCCCCTTTTGCGACCTATCTTGACAAACAAAATCAAGGGGGAAAATCCAGATTCACTTAACAATTGCGTGACTAACGGCACAACGGCAGTGATCCACTCAACAACCATGGCAGGAAAGGCCGTAAAAGTGAGGCCAAACTCACTGAACAACTGTCTTGCTTTGCAACGGAAATTTTTGGGTCCAATGTGGGGGGGTCATAAGTCAAGGACTACCTGTAATCTCCTCTGAGGTGGGCTTAAGAAAAGCGTATCGCTTGGCGTAATATGCCAACAGACAGGTTTTCTGGAGAAAGGGAATCCTAGAATAATCCATTGTCTTCCAGCCATTCTTGTGTGCTTCCTTGACGCATCAGGCAATGGATCCCTGAATCACTGTGCGGATCCAGCTAAGTTCTGAAGCATGCAGTCAAGGAAAATACATGCTGGGAATCTCGATGGAGATTCTCAGTCGCATCCAGGTCATGGCTGTCCCAAAGGTGCTTTTTTTCAGAGGCAACTGGACTTTCTGGTGTTTCTTTGAAGACGTTTCGCTTCTCGTCCATGAAGCTTCTTCAGCTCTGACTGGATGGTGGAGGAACGGAAGGATTTCTGTTGCTTGCAGACCCAGACAAACCTCCTGACGGCCTCAGCAATGCTCTAAAAGACTGCAAACAATCAGCTGTCAAGCAAGGAGGATAAACCCTTCCATCCCCCACCATCCAGCCAGAGCTGAAGAAGCTTCTTGGAGGAGAAGCGAAACCTCTTCGAAGGACCTTTGGGATTATGTGCTGGGAAGACGATTGCGCACATATGGAGGCCGGTGCCGCCGCCGCCCTCTCCAGAAGTCCCATCCCACTCCGTATGACATTTTAAGAGAGGAAGAATGCAATGACACTTACAGGGAGCGGGCCACCTGCTTGAGGTTGTCTGCACATCGAGGCCTGAGAATAGCACAAGTCTGGAAAAGCTCCAGAGATTCGTGGATTTTTCCTTCCAAGCGGAAGATCAAAGCTGGAAGCAACATTACCATAGCACGTTAATCAGGAGGATCCCGTGTTCGGGATTTTAATATTAATGGTTTAATTTCTGCTCATGCTTTGCAGAACAGTTCTGTCCTAAAGGACAGCCTAAAAATGTTTCAGATATATACATGAATGAACAAGGAGCTCAGGTATCCTGCTCTGGGCTACATTTCTAATTTAAAAAATCGCCTATTTTTAATTTTAAAAACACACTGGAAGCAAATAACCTGATGAGTAACATATTGATTGCCCCAAGGCTGCACGGAGACGTGATCCAGATTTGTCTTAAGTCACTGTAGGTAAATTAATGTTTGAATTTTGAATTTCATGTCTTCCCTTCACCAGACAACCAGCGACTGTGCAAATATTCCGCTCTCGGGGTTTTCTATCAAACAGGAGGTGCTGGATTATTAAAGCACCGTTAGCTCTGATGATTCCCGAAGAGGTGTCTGTGTGTTCTTACAAAGCACATAAATGCAGCTGGGAGCTTTGTTTAATCATGGAGTCGTTTTCTCTTACCTTGAACGTAGACGGCATATTCACACATTCCTTGGGTTTCCTGCAGTTGCTCTTTTATGGCAATCTGAACGCCCGAAAGGAAGAGAAATTCAATCATGAGAATGTTTTATTTCAGAGGAGAGGCAGCATGTCCAACTGGACCGGTGCTTTTACAACAGGCACTCAACATTCAGTTATGGAAGGTGAGTCTTTGGGGAAGTTGGCACTGAAACTTAAAATGGGTGTCCTAAGATGGTGCTAGGGAGGGCACAGGACGTGTATGCTTTTATTGTTGTTATGATTTATGTTTGTGAAGAAAAGGACCAGGGGAGACAGGATAGCAGTCTTCCAATATTTGAGAGGCTTCCACAGAGAGGAGGAAGGGGGTCAAGCTATTGTCCAAAGCACCCGAAGGCCAGACAAGGAATGATGGATGGAAACGGATCAAGGATCAACATTTAACCTGGAAATAAGGAGAAACTTTCTGACGGAGAACAATCAACCCATGGAACAGAAGTTGCCTCGGAAGTTGTGGGAGCGCCATCGCTTGAGACTTTCAAGAGACTGGACTGCCATCTGTCAGAAATGGTGTAGGGTCTCCTGCTTGGGCAGGGGGTTGGACTAGATGGCCTACAAGGTCCCTTCCAACTCCGATTATCTGTTATCTGCTTTACATTTCTCATCAAGCCAAAGACCATCTGGAAACACTGAGTTTGTGAAATCAGAGCAAAGAAGGAACCAGACAGATCCTGATTCAGTAGGATGGGAGGGGATGGGGTGGAACAGAACAGGAAAGGCAAGGCAGGGCAGAGCAAAGTACAGAATAAAACAGAACAGAAGAGAGTTCTTTATTGGCCTTTGTCTCTGTTGAATATAAGCTCACAGCGTACATATAAACAGCAAGTCATAGGTCATAAATCGTAATTATAAGCATTAATCCTAAGTTACAAACAACTTGATAAATCACAAGAAACCAATAGGAGGGTAGGAAAAACGAGAGGATGAGAAATGAGACAGTGCTGTGGGGATTGAGCGTTCAGGAGAGTGATGGCCCAGGAGGGAAAAAAATGATCTTTATGTCTAATTGTTTTGGCATGCAAGCGTTGTAAGCAAAAACAGTCCTTCGTCAGGAAAAATTGGCCATTGGAGTGAAAACACAACTTATGGGTCACATATTTCTTCCCCTCTTCTGCGACAGGTTTTATACTGCCACACAATACTTTGAAACTTGATGCCGGATATCTCTGACAAATTGCTGGCTAAGGGAAGACTTATTTCCACCCTCACACTGTTTAGCATTACACCCCGGTTAGAGTTAGAGGGCCCCAATCAACTTCAGAAGGTACACTGGGTTGCAATCCTGGTTAGTGCTAACCACAGTTAGTCACGCTAGTTAAGATTCTTGGGGGTGGTGGGGAAATGGATCGTGCACAAACAAAGGAGGGAAGCCAAATCCTGACTTGGAGAGTCATGGAAAATAGAACCGAACCCCCTCCTGAGAACAAAGATCTGGATTTTTTCCCCTCTTCTCTTGTTGAGAATGGTTGTTTAAAGTAAGACGTGTTCCTCTGTGGTTGGTGCTTCACTCGGTCTCGACTAATGACTGCCTTGACAAGTCCCTGCGATCGATCTTCTTGGCAACCGTTGTGCAAGCCATATTTGGGCCCTTTCTTTCTTTATAGGGCTGCGAAAGAGTGGGACTGGCTCAAAGCCTCCCACCCGTGCCTAAGGCAGGGCTAAGCCCAGAGGATTTAATCACCTCGCCAAACTCGTTCCTACCTTACATGCATCGTAATCTTTGCGCACGTAGTACAGGTGGATCAGCCAGTTCCTCTTCTCCAGAATGGGAAGGTCGGGCGCTGTGAAAGAGGAGGGCAGGACAGATCTTTAGAGCGGTGTTTCTCCACCTGAACAATTTGAAGATCTCTGGATTTCGACGCCCAGAGTTGCCCAGCCAGAGATCTTAAACCTGCCAAGGTTGAGATTTAAATAAACCACTAACTCGGGCTTCCAACCAGGGAGACATGAAGCAAAAATCTGCTTGTCTTGCTCCCACGTAGCGGGAGACAAGAGGCCGTGCTATGTAGCGGGAGAAGATTTTTGAAAGATTGGTCATCTAGCCCAACCCCCCCCGCCCCGCCCCGCCCAAGCAGACCCTATCCAATGATCTTGCCTTCCAATCTCCTTTCTGAGTTGTTCAAAGCAATTCTTCTCTCACTGAAAACAACCTCGTGGCAAAAAAACAAAGGCAATGCAAGCAGTCCTCGGCTTACAACAGTCCGTTTAGTGACCGTCGTCCAAGGTTACAACAGTACCGAAAAAAGGACCCTGTGACCGTTTTTCACATTCACGATCGTTGCAGCTTCCCTCTGGTCACTTGATCCAAGTTCCAATGTTTGGCCACGGATTCGTTGCACTGTCCTGCGAGCAAACTCAATGGGGAAGCCAGATTCACTCAACACCCTTTTGTTACTAATTTCACAACTGCGACGATCCGCTTAACAGCGGCGACAAGAAAGGTTATAAAAATGGGACAAAACTCGCTTGACAAATGCCTCACTTCACTTAGCACCATAAATTTGGGGCTCCGTTGTGGTCGTAGGTCAAGGACTACCCGCATCCCGCAGAAGTGCTCTCCTTTATCCAAGCCAACAAACAGACATTCATCTGTATTCCAGGTGAACCGCAGAAAAGAGGTTCCAATAAACGGAATGATGTCCTTCTCAAAAAAGGCAAAAATCCCTTTTTACTGGACCAGTCCAACCGGGTTTTCGGAGGAGCTGAATCCATAGGGATATGCGATCCTTTATGCCAAGGTCTAACGCTAGGTGAGGGCGAGCAAGTTTCCCATCTGTCAACCCTCAGTGGCCTTCCAAAACCAGCCGAGACATGGCTGGTTTTCCTGGGAGAGCTGGGGAAACGACCTTCCGCGCCCGGGCTATCATTGGGTGATTTTTTGCCATTTACAAAATCGTTGATAGATTGATTTCCTCTTATTTTTAACGGCCTACAGGTTAAACCCAAATGTAGTTTCTTATTCTGGTCCTGTTGGTTCACGCTTTAAAAAAAAACAAAATACGATTATAGCTCCTAGCTTGGAAATAAGTGGCTCGTTCCTGTTCCAAAAAACCCCCAAACAAACAAACAACACTACCAACCCATAAAGCCTTTTAGAGATCATCATCGACACTTTAAAGCGGAGTCAATTTCTCTCCTCTTTTGAATTCTGTGGAACATCAGGCTGGTCATCGCTAGAAGGGAAGAAGTGAGACTGAGATAGCATGACGAATCTTTGGCTCTTATTGAGGGGTGTTTTTTTTGGTGGGGGGGAAGAGAGAGAGAGAAAGAGGTCGATGTTAATCTCTCCAGCAACTCTGGTTCACAAGACGGTCAATTGGAGGGAGAGCCCCCAGCAACTAACCCTGATCCGATATGGCTTTACTCAACCACCTCTATGTTGACCTCACCCCTTTCCTAAGAGGCCTGTTAAGGGGCGTGCCTAAGCGCACCATCGTGCCTCCCGCCCCTGTCCTATTGCCCCCATTGATTCGTACCCATTTCCCCGTATTCTTACTCACGTTTATACTTATACCTATGATCTTGTAAGCGATTGACAAATCAAATAAATAAAAATAAATCTTGGCTTGGAAGTTCTTAAGAAGACGCCGCCATTCACACATCCTACCGACACAACTTGAAGTGCGCCAAACTCATCCCTGCAGCGGAGAGGTTGGTGAGCCAAGGTAACCATAGCAACTAACAGGGAGGCCAGAGGGAAAAAAAAAACCTGTTTGTAAGTGGATATGATGATAAAGGAGCTCAGCAGAAAATAAGGGATACGGGGGGGATGGGGGGCGGGGGGGGGGGGGCTGCTGAGGCCGCAAAGGGAAAGGGGGGGGGGGGGGGGGGGGGGGGGGGGGGGGGGGAGAGCTGCTGAGGCAGCAAACGCAGAGGTGATGGGGAAGGAGGAGGTCTAGGACAGGTGTTGGAAGCAAGCGACTCGCAATGCAAAAACCTTTGCAGAGAAGAGGAGGGTCAAGCTATTCTCCGAAGCACCTGAGAGGGCAGGAGAAGAAGAAACAACAGCGGGTGGAAGCTTATCCACGAGAGATCCAACCTAGCATTAAGGAGAATGAGAACAAGGGGCTGCCACAACGAAGAGGGAGTCAAGCTATTCTCCAACTCACCTGAAGGCAGGAGAAAAAAAAAAAAAACTAGAACGACGCCGCCTTCGGTCCGATCTAAGTACAGTACACAAAATCATGCGTTGCAATGTCCTACCTGTCAATGAATACTTCAGCTTCAACCACAACAACACAAGAGCGCACAATAGATACAAACTCAAGGTTAACCGCAGCAAGCTTGATTGCAGGAAATACGACTGCAGCAACGGAGGGGTCAATGTCTGGAATACTCTACCTGACTCTGTGGTTTTTTTCCCCAAACCCCAAAAACTTTAACCTTAGACTGTCTACTGTTGACCTCACCCCTTTCCTAAGAGGTCTGTAAGGGGCGTGCATAAGTGCACCAACGTGCCTACCATCCCTGTCCTATTGTTTCTTTTATTTTCTTTTTTCTTTTTCTGATATGTATCCATGTATTCATAACTATGTTTTTACTCATACCTCTTATCTTGTAAGCAATTGACAAACCAAATAAATAAAATAAAGAAGCAATAAGGATAGAAAACTAACCAAGGAGAGAAGCAATCTGGAACTAAGGCGAAATTTCCTGACAGTGGGAAGAACAATTCATCAGCCGAACGAATTGTCTCCAGAAGTCGTAAATGCTCCAGCGCTGGAGTTTAAGAAGAGATTGGAGGTTTTCCACAAGAGATTGAACGGCCATTTGTCTGAAATGGGACTGATATCTCCTGCCAGAACAGAGAGTTGGACTAGAAGACTTCCAAAGTTCCTTCTAACTCTGTTATTCTGTTATTATTCTCATTCATTACCCAAAGTTTGAGGATAGGCTGTTTCCCTCTATCTCCCTCTCCTTCTTTTCCTTCTCCCCGTTCCTTAAAAACACTGGAGGTTTTAAAGAAGAGATGTGTACACAGACACTTTTGTCTGGGGTGGAATAGGCCAGGACGACTCACCGTGGCCAAATTGCCACAGTCAACTCGCCATGGAACAAGAATTATACTAATATTGAGGGGGAACAACGGTGTAACAGAATCATAAAAGAAAGGATGCCAAAGGAAGGACCACACGAAATGGGAACAACAAAAATTAAAATATTTTTTAAATTACTTCACATAATTGTTGAAGTGTCCCATGGCAAGTTGGCTGTGGTGAGTTGTCCCATTCCACCTACCGGTAGGCTTACTGCTTCTATCTTAATAATTATAATTATTAGGATTTTCTAGGCTGATACGTCTGCAAGGTCACTATCTCTCAGAGCAAGTGACCTAGCCACATTCCTCCAGCTGTTGTAACTCTGCTTCAGGTTGCCTTTAGTTGAATCTGCAAGACCACCCAACACTTCCAGTGAAGCAGATTTGTAAAAATATCCTTCGCTGCATCCTTCTTCTAGACCGGGTGTCAGCAACCTGCGGCTCTGGAGCCACATAAGGCTCTTTGGGCCCTCTGCTGTGGCTCCCTGTTGGGTGATCCCACACTGGCTGGCCACGCCCCTTGCCCTGCCCTCCCGGTCAGTCCTTGCCTGGCCTGAGAAGGTAAACACAAAAAAACAGAAATCAGTGGGTGGGTGGGTGGGTGGGAGGGAGGGAGGGAGAGAGAGAGAGAGAGAGAGAGAGAGAGAGAGAGAGAGAGAGAGGGACCCATTTCCCACCGAAAACACCCGGAGCCACTAAACAAGGGTAGGCGTGGCGGGGGTGTCATATGACTGGGAGGAAGTGATGTTGAGTTGGCCACGCTCACCCAAGTTTTGAAATTCCCGGTGTTTTCTTTTCTGTGGCAAACGGGTCCAAATGGCTCTTTGAATGGTTAAGGTCTGTTCTGGACGGTCCAAAAAGTGCATCAATAAATCTCTCTAAAGCACAAAATCTTGGCAACCCCAACCTTAGCAGCTCCAAATATGGAATGTTTGCTTTCCTGGTTTCAGAGAAAGCCAACCGTTGCTGCTTTTCTCCTTTTAGTTTTGCTTTGTTGCACTAAAAATGGGAGGAAATTAAATATATATATATATATATGAACGTTTCCATTTTGTGCCCACATTTGAGTTTTCTAAGTCAGTTGGACTCATGGATCACCTTTTGAGGAAGCCAAGACAACGGCAGGAACAAGGAGAGAGAGGACAGCAACAGAGGTGCAAAGGAAGGGTCCTGGCACACATTCAACAACCTGACATTTGTGTGAACTGGTCTTACACTGACGGCCAGGTGCCTTTGATTATCCCTCAGCAAGGAACAAGGGCGAATTAGAATAGGTGAATATGTTGTTCCCCATTTTCTTTGGAGGCCATCATTTCAAAATTGCTGGAATATTGCATCCAATTTGGTTGCCACAATATTAAAAAAAAGAAAAAGATGAGGAGACTTCTATAAATTGTGCAGAGCAGAGCAACAAAGATAATTAAGGGACTTGGAGGCTAAACCATAGGAGGAACGGTTGCTAGAATTGGGTGGGTCTAGTTTAATGAAAAGAAGGACTAAGGATGACAGGATAGCACTGTTTGCATATTTGAGGGCTGCCACAAACAAGGTACCCCATATTATATCTGGCTGCTTTAAAAGTGGCAAAACTCAGGGACTGGCGTTGCAGTCCAACATTTCTGCAAAGTTCCAGGCGGATCTATATGTGGCTCCCTTTACCGAAGGCCGAGGTTAATCAGAGATGCCTAATCAATTCTCTAACCAGAGGTACCTTACTGTACATAATCCAGATACAGTATCTGAAGGCTAGAGGCATATTTCTTCCTCTAAGCACACGGCGCAGGTAGTTTTGAAATCTCCATATTCCCAAACCACTGTTATTGTCTCCGTGCTTAATGTTCTCTTTGCTCACTTTTTCTTTTTTTCCAAACAGCCACTGGAATCAACTCTAAATCAAACAATAAACCTGTATGGCTTACAGTTATTTACTGTCAACTGGGTTTAATAAAACCTGTCATAAACAATTCTGATGCTTGCAACAAAGCTGTA